TCTCCACGCCCACGACCCACTGTACCGAGAGCAGTAAAAAGGAGTTTATGGCCCAGATAAACAACCTCATTAGCCAGGAGAACCGGAAGGATCAGATCGGCCTACACGTGGAGTTTGTGGGCTCCCAGCAGTTTGGAAACTCCCTGCAGGCGGTGGTAACTGATCGCCTTAAATATAGTGAACAGAGCATGGAGTTTTTGGAACAGAATCTACACAATTGGCAGAAGAAAGGAATAACCTTAAAGGTTTCTGGTCGACCCTACAATCCCAATGTTAGCTTCTCCTCGATTGTTCTCATACTTTTCTGCATGGCCCTGGTGGGTCTGGTGTCCGTGGTCATTTTGGCGCACTTTATGCCTGAGAATCCCTACCTGAACCGGATACCACAGTGGATCCATGACCCTCGTCGATGGAGGTGGCATCACTTGTGCTTGAGACTGCGCCGGAATCTGCTCTTTAACCGTTTTGACAACGGTGGCGCAGAGGGTGGCTCCAGTGAAGGAGGTGCTTCTGGTGTGGATCGCCTGGGAATTATGGCATACGATCCGGAAAGTGGCGAGGTGAGGGAACGAGCCTTTGACAATCCCATGTTCGAGCAGGGAGCAGCTTTGGAGGTGGCTGCCAAGGAGTCGCAGGAGCAGGAAGAAATCCTGGGTGTCCCCAAAATGGAGACTGGAGATCTGGACGCCAGTAGCGTGGTGGATGAACAGGAGCTTACGGAAATCAATTTGGAGACATGCGGGGCGGACACCGATGAGGAGACCATCTAATTAAAGTCGAAATCAAAAATAACACGATAAGTTTTTATAGAAACCATTTCCGAAAGCACCAATAGCCATCACATCTAATCTGACGTAAAGTTTTAGGATTAGGTGTTCTATATTAGTGACCTGCGTATTAAAGTATTTCTTACAATTACACTAACAAAGTTATTGAGGGCAGTTAAATTTACAAGTTGGAGGGGGATACTACGTCATTATTTTTGGATATTACTAAGTGCCGAGTCAATTACTAACGCACAATCGATAAGTCGCGTGTTGTAAAGGCACAATGAACCAAATGAGCACCTGATAATTTTACCGGGTAATTCAGTTAGCGTTGCCTTTCGTCGCAATGGCCTTGTTCCTTGACCTTCACAGAGGGTGGATTGGTGGTTTGGTAGCGGTTGAGGGGTCCGGGAATCGATAGTTGCATTAGCTGCGAAGATATTTCGAGAAGCCTTTGTCCCCGGCTCATAAATGTGGCTCTTGTGTATCCACATCTATTCATAGAACACTCATGGAAAGGCGCATTCCTCCCCCCAGTTTCCATAGGATATGAAACCATAGATATGCACGGATATGGGGACGTGGAACGGAGGCCAGTTCGGATGCGGATTAAGCGGCCGATTTCGGATTTCAATTTAGCTTCTGCCAATTCATTCTGAAGTGGAATACTGTGTACTACGGCGATTCAGAGTGCGGCTGATAAACGCACCTTATCAGTTTCAAAGCGAAAGCGAAAATACATACAGTGAACAGTCGAACTAGTGCAGTAGTATTGTGAAGAGTTTCACGATTGTTCGGAGGTGTGTTTAGTGTGTGACCACTGTATGCCATCGTATACTCCTGCTGCTAGTGACTGGACTCTGACTACACCATAATCAGTACATATTTGGCATCAGGAGATATAACATGGCCAAGCCCAAGTCAAAATCGACTAGCAAAGGGGCTACTTCGCCGGGTTTCAACAAGGCGGTGCAATTGCTCCTCCATTTTACAGCCGTGCTGCAGTTCAACTATGGCGTGTACATCTTCCACACCCTCGACATGCCCAACACGGTGCCCTTCGCCGGAAAATTCAAGTTCCTCACGTTTATTTGTGCGGTAAGCCGATGAGTTCATATGGAAAATCTCCACACCGGTTGAACAAAAGCTATGCATAACTGGTTATGGATTTGTAATGGCCTAATGTTCCGGTTCTATCCCTTACACTCAAATCTAATCGCTGGTAGTCAGTAAAGATACATTTGGCGTGGGAAAATGTGTTTTGGTATAACCTGAATAACCGTTTTACGCCACCATTAATCGTTTTATACGTAAAATAGTGAATAATATTCCAAAATTCATGTTTGATTATGTCAAAGAATTGACTTCAAAATGAGAGCTTATTAGTTTTAAAGTAAAAGAAGATAGTTTCATAAATTAAAAACAAGATATTAGAACAAATTCAAATGCGCTGCTCAAAATGTAAAAGCAATTCTCATCTTCATAGATAGAAATATAAGTCTTTTCCTCCTAGAATCAAAGGTTAAAAGTGGAACCATCTTATAGAATTTGTCGACGTACCTTGCAACCCTACCAGAGGATAAACGAGTATGTGTATATCCGAACACCTGGTATTGTGGCCCTGCTCCGGCTCGGGCACACTGTTCCACCGCTCGCCCCGTTTTTGGGGTGGTTGTGATTTGCGAGCAGTAGTACTTTCGGGGAGACAGACCAGACCGGTTTGTTGTGTTTTGGTGGCTTGGTGCCGTGAAAAATCAATCGAGAGCGGAGAAGCAGAGCAGCAGAGCAGCTGCAGCAGGAAAATGGCATCCGTGCGAGGCAACTCCCTGTACCAGGGCGTCTATGGGGCTCTGAGGACCCTGCTCCATCTGACGGCGGCCGTGCAGTTTGGCTACGGCATCTATTACGACTACAACTACGTTGAGTTCCCCACCAGCGAGCCAGAGATGCGGATCCATCATCCCTGGGGGGGCAAATTCAAATACCTAACGTTCCTGGATGCGGTAATCTCCACCTCCCATTAGAAACGCGAACGCAGCGCGGCTTCAAGTTCACTCTGATTGTTTTGCACGCATCTATTAAGATACACAGAGAAAATGAGTAGGGTATTAGTTAGAATCATCGGCTTTTCTTGAGTGATGAAGAGAGGGATATATCTATGGGTACCGTGTATAAAATACCCGAAGCAATAGCTCCAGAAAGCTTTCGGAAGATTTTATATGAAAACTTTAGCTTAAGAAGTATTTATAGTAGATAATTACCACCGCAAAGCAAATACTTCAATACCCCCAAAATCACTGCCTTTTAAACTTTTAAACTAACGAACCCGTCTTACCTCTTAATGTCGCTAGCATTTAACAGGAAATGCTTTGTGCAACGTTTTTTCGCTGGCTGTAATTCCTTCCACTCCACTTAAGCAACCCTTCAAATAGCCGCATTCGCATTATCTCACACACGTCAAATGCTCTTGCACTTACAGATAATTCAGGCACTGTACTATATTGTATCGCTGGTCAACGATTTCGTGGGCACCAATGAGCTGACACCCAAGAAACCTCCGGCGGTGCGCAGGTTCAAGGACTGGCTGATGGCTACATTGGCCTTTCCAGTGGCCATCAACGTGGGCGTGACCTTCTGGACACTGTACGCCATCGACAGGGAGCTGGTCTTCCCCAAGGTGCTGGACCCCGTGTTCCCCAGGTGAGACCACATAAGCCGGTGGAACCAAGATTGCCTGACCCAAGACGTATTTTGCTCAACAAATTAAATTACTTTGCTCGCTTGAATTCGCGTATCATGATCAGATTAGCATTCTAAGCATATCAAATTCAAAGCCATATCCATTTTGTATAGCACTGCCTATCTAGGGTGTTGTGGTAATGTGTTTACATTCAAGCTTTTTAGGTTCGGGTTATTCCGAACTAGATCTTTGAATTTCACGTATGTCCAAACAAGTATTACCTTTCATTTCAGTTATAGACACTAACCTCAAGACCTCACAATATCGTTATGAGGTTATGACTTTTTCTTCAAAGTAATTAACTTCTTAATCGCATAGTTTTCTACGACAAAGCTTTTAAGATATGTACGTCATGTGAATACTTTGATGAGCGCAGATATTTTAATAAAAAATTACCCAAGAACAACCTTAAAGTGGGAATAAAATTCAAGTACTGCAAGATCTAGTCTGGAAAGTCTTGAGTTGACCTATTGTTTTGCCAAGACACACTTATAATATCTTCGTTTGCCCCTTTCAGCTGGCTCAACCATGTGCTGCACACCAACATTGTGGTGTTTATCGTCCTGGAGCTGTTCATCTCGTACAGGTCGTACCCAAAGCGCAGCCAAGGACTTGCAGGACTGGCCATTTTCATGGGCGCCTACCTGGTTTGGATCCACGTGGTGAAGCACTACTCGGGGGTATGGGTGTACCCAGTGCTCGAGGTGCTCCACCTTCCGCAGCGCATCCTGTTCTTCGCGGCCGTCGTTGGCTTCACGCTGTCGCTTTATCTGCTGGGCGAGTTCCTCAACAACACCGTCTGGGCCAAGGAAGTGAAGTTGGCCAAGCGCAAAGCCAACTAGGAGTAGGCTGTGACCCGTTTCAGTTCGATGTAGTTGCGTTAATTAGCCACAAATACAAATAATGAGTGACAGGTGTCGGTTATACATTTTGCTCACATTGTTCGATCTTCTCAGCCAAAGATAGTATTTACATATGCATACATACATATGTATGTCTGTACAATCGTACTGCAGAGTTGACACAAGAAGTCGCACGAAATATGTGAGAAGTAATAAACGAAACTTGCAACATGAACTCGATAATATATTTTCCACTAATATTGAATTGTGAGTCTTTAATCGTAATAGGGAACCCCGTTTGCTAATGATATTCATTATATTCTTATTACGAATACATTGTAACTGAGATTATAGCCGTAGTTTGTATTGAGTGCGCGCGTCCTTCGATAGTTTTTATTAGACTAACCAAAATTGCAAGAATGCCTTCTCGATTAAACACCTCATATCAGCACTCCGATTCAACGCCATCTTTGAATACCACTGTTATTCAATTCTAGTACCATAATAAAGCGATTAAACTCTTTACTGCGAAACTGTTTTCAGTTGGGTTGCTTCAAATAAAACTAATTTTTGAACTGTGGGAAACGTGAAGTGGCGCTACCATATGGATTTAGCTACTAAAAGCTAGAAAAAGCTACTTCTAGCTTTAAAATGCCAACTAGCTGGCATTGAATTCAACGTGTGCAGCGCCCCAATCAGCTGTTGGCCAGCTTTTATTTGTTTTGTTTTGCTCAGCGTGCGGCGCCCTTTGCGACCCAAGATCCCAATATTGGCTAAAATGGGCAAGAGCAGGAAGCAGGTGCGCGAGTTCAATGCCGCCAAGGAAGCTGTCGAAGCCACTAAAGTCCAGCTGGACACTTGCAACGATGCCTACACGAGCGGCGCCTTTAAATACCTGAGATTCCTGGTCCATCTCCTGGCGGCTGCCCAGTTCTCATATGGCATATACTTCCACTACTTCCGGGTGCACTGGCCCACGGATTTGCTGGACGAGGACGAGCTGAAGGCGCGCTGGGGAGGCAAGTTCAAGTACCTCACCTTTTTGGACGTCATTCTGCAGGCCATCTACCACTCGCTGGCGCTGCTGAACGATCTCTTCGGCGATAACAAGGTCTCCGGGGCTTCAAAGTCCATGCTGCGATCGGCGAGGGACTACGTGTTCGCCGCCTTTGCCTTCCCAGTCGCACACAACGTCTGCCTCTCGTTTTGGGTCATCTACGCCTGGGACCGTGAGCTCATCTTTCCCTCAGCGCTGGATGCTATTTTCCCCAGGCAAGTGTAAATAATTTCCCGCCTGCTTAAGTAGGCTCACGCATTGTACGCCTCTTTTGTGTTGTGTCCGGTCTAGGCTATCTGTTCATCGGGCGATGCATAAGTTTTAATTTACCTGCGTGTCTCAATCTTTGCAGCTGGTTGAATCACGTGGTGCACACGAACGTGGCCCTTTTGGCCATTATGGACCTGTTTACCTGCTTCCGCCGCTATCCGAGCCGATTGGCCGGCATCACAGGCAACGTCTCCTTCATCTTGCTTTACATCATCTGGCTGCACATTGTTCGATACTTCAGTGGCGAGTGGGTGTATCCTATTCTGGAAGTGCTGCCCGTATACTTGCGCTACGTGTTTTTGGCACTGCTGGTCGGGTTTAACCTGGTTTGCTATCTGCTCGGGGAGTTCGCCAACAAGGTCGTCTGGGGTCCGGAGTTTAAGCTCCTAAATCAGCAGAAATTGAAGCAGGGCTAGGATTCGAGGATTTAAAATCGTTTATTAGTTACACAAAAGTATGACATATTTTGTAAACTGAAGGCACTTTTTGAGGTACGATTTGTGTGCCAAGAGGCTTATTTATATCGTACTTAAATGTATAATCTACAGTCTAATAATAAGTCCTGTACCCACGGCAAAGGAAAATAATGAAAATAAATTATTATCCTCTTTGGCATTTACTTTGGCGTGAGTACTAGGATTAAGGAAGCAGTTATTCACAAACGTACACAGAGATTCGAATGAGAAGATGAATTTGTAAAATAAAGTTTGCCGCTTAGAGACTATGAGTATTCGTAATTCGTAGTTCTAGTTTCGCTCAGTCTGTTCAAGTAATCAATTAAGAAAAATCTAAATGTTCATCGCATGTAAACTGCATACAAATTAGAAGGTAAGCATGCTCTGGTTTCGGTTCTACTTAAGTTTCGTTACAATATTATACTTGTTTGTTTTAAATATCATTTGGGTTTCCAATTCTTCTGAAGCAATAAATTCATACAAATTGCTGAACAGTTTAAATTAACAATAATACAGGTTTCGTAAAATTGATAAAGACAACAGGGACACGAAAATTTCCTGGCTTCCAACCAAATTTTTCGGTTGCTAAAAATATTTCATTTCTTAGAACAACAATAAAAAACTTGTAAGAGATTTGGAACCTTAAGTAAATGCATTAATTGCTCATCTAGTCTTGCTATTTCGAAGGCAGCAATAACATTTTGAGTTTGTCCGACTCGCTCATAAACGAGGGCTCTCTTTGATGCCGATGGGAATGACCCAATAAGCTCTGCAGCTCTGTTCCTCCGAAATCTTCATTAGCTGCTTCAGTTCTTTGTCTGCTGGCTGCGTTTAGGAGTCGCATGGCCTGCTGCAGTTCGTCTTCTCCGTAACTGGGAACTAACTCGAAGGGATTAGCCTGAATGCCCACATCGCAGCTGGTTTTGCTGTTCCTGCTATGTGGTTTGCCCGTGGATATTCCAGAAAACGAGCTGTTAAGAAGGCTTCCTACGTCCAAAGCAACGTCCAGTTCCTCAGAGGAGCAGCTTAGTGAGTCATTAGACCGATACGTTACGCACTCCTTCTTGTAATCCAGATCTGCAGCAGGGTTCTTGAGATGCCTCTTTTGGGACTTTCTAGACTGACTTCTTGCGGAATTGCGGGAATGTCGATTACAATTGGATTCATTCGATTTTTTTATGTTTTTAAGAAAGTTCTCCAATGCCACCTGTTTGCTATTTGGCAGTTCTTCAATCTTAACTCCATCGTGATCATCCTCACTTATTTCCTCCTGCCTTACAACCACGTTAAGATCCTGAATCTTATGGGATGCTCGCGAATTATCCACCTCCGAACTAGAGCTCATATCTTGATTTTGCAGGAATGGGAATAAAAACTCCCCATTTTTCTGCAGGAATTCATTAAGAATAGAGGGATCCAATCCGGCATTAGCCGTCCTTCGCTTCATGGAGCTGGTGTAATTGTGTTGTTTTTTGGAGCTGTGATGAGCAAACACGCCCACTTTTTGACTAGCATTGGGATAGGTCGTTTTCTTGAGCGCAATGACCTGCGACTCCACCGAAGTACTGCTTTCCCTTCTCCTACTGCTTTTTCCAGCTGCAGCTGCTATGTAATCCCTTCTCCTTTGAGTTCTCCTGTTGCTGGAAGACCCTCCGTGTTTTCCCCTCGATCTGGATGCCACTTTCGTCTTCATTTCAGCTATTTTCACTGATACCTGTGAGTCCACCGAATTTCTGCGCGATTCAACGGAAACATGTCGCACGCTAACACTTATCTCGGAATCCAAAGAGTTTTTTCGCGGTCCATGGCTTGACGAGTTACCTGTCGCTGCTCCCGTCAAAGCCATGCGACGTTTTACGCACTGCGGGAGGTATGCAGCCCAAGTTGAGGAGATGTCATTTGTCTCAGAAGAGTTCAGATCGTTCACATCGAAGTTGAGTCCCACGGGATCGGTGTGAGTGTTGTAGAGCGTTATGGAGAGCCTGCCCTTGTCCTCGAAATCCTTGCGCTTGGCCCATGTCTGGGCAATGACCTTGTGTTTGGGCATTTTGACTTCCTCGACCACCTCCTTGCCGCACTTTCTGCAAGGGTTATAAGATCGATAATACAGATGATTTTAATTCAGCCTTTGGTAAGGTGGTGAAACCTACTTTCGTATATAACGCTTCCAAGTCTCAATTGAAGACGGTGTCCAGCACCAGGTGGACATGACAATTCCAGAGCTAAAGAGACACAGCAAATGCAATTGAAGCACACCAACACTAGGCCGGTTTTCGATTCGACATGAACTTTTTTCTTCAAAAACTGAAGAAATTTTACAGCTGAACAAAAGAATAACCGATTAAAGTTAAGCGAAGATAAAAATTGATAAATGATTATATACACTTACATTACAAACTGTCTGAAGCTCTGGGCCCATTCCTCTGCATGCCTAAACTCCGTAACGTGGCACGCAATGGCCACCAGTATGAAAACTAAAGTGAGCAGAGCACAGACTCCCATACGCATGATGATCAAATGTATTTTGTTGCTCGCCGAAGTGGATTTAATGTCATTAGCAAAGTGTTTCAGTCCAAAAAGCATCACCATGCCTCGGGTGATGAAGTATCCACCAATGAGGATCACACCGCAGAGCGGACCAAGAAGTAGTCCTGCCCTCATAGAATGATTGATATAGCCTACGAAGCAGATGCCCACAATGCTATTTCCATCCACCTCACTGAAAGCCATCGTGGTAATGGTAAGCACAAGAGGTAGTGACCAGGCCACGAGGTGAAAGTAGGAACCTTTCTTATCGATGCGATCTTGGACGTGGCCCATGGCCCTCCAATGCCAGGCGTAGGTGAGGAACACAAACCAAACCATTCCAGCGGTGAGAAAGTAATAGACCAGCACAAAGATCACTATGCAAGAAAGATTTTCGCCGGTGGTGGGCTCTGAGTGGCGAAGTGTTCCATCCTTACGACATACTATGTCCTCTCGTGATCCCGATGTAAACTGCAGCAACCAGCTGCGAGGCAAATAAAGCGAACAGTAAGAAAACGAATAAAAAATTGTGTTCAAAACTTACCCGACGCATGCAATTAGAAAGCAAAGATTTATATAGAACACAATCACTGCCGGGTACTTGTTCGCATTCTTCCAGTCGATTAAGAAGGTGGAGACCACGAACAGGTTCGAAATAAAACATAAGCTGCCAGCCCAACCGATCAGCTTGTGAATCTGCCGGTGCTCATCATCCGTATAGAGTGGATCCTTGCATCGCACTCCGCAGCCTTCGATGCCAGGATAATAGCTGGCTGACGTATCTGTCGGTACCAATGGACTCAAGCACTGGCCAGTTCCGTTGAATTTCATTCCTCGTGCTCCGTTTGTGCATTTCGCCGGAAAGAGTGTTTCATTGCAGCGAAGGAATTTTGGGAAAAACGTCGTGTTGTACAAAATGCGACAGGGTTCCATGGTAATCCGGCACATTTCGTAAGATGGCAGGTAGACCATGTCCTCGCCGTTGATTTTTTCACACTTCGGCTTAAAGACGGCGCACAAAAAGGGCTGTAAATATGTAAGAATAGGCACGTTAAACTAATCCGGAATACATATATCCACTGAAAAACTCAAACTACAACCGAATATGTTAAAGCTGCCTATTTTAAAACGATTCACATATGAATGCCACAGCTGTAACACAAGGGTTAATTAAATTGCAAAGTATCGTTAAGTGTGTGAATGTCGAATTCAGCTGCTTAACTTGTTTCTAATGCACCTCCTTATCAGAAAATAATGCGGCAATCTGTATTTCTATACAGACTCGACTCCACCCCTTGAAATCATTAGGTACATTAGATGCTATTAAGATTCCTCACTTGTATGGCAGCCCAACATTTGGGCACGTGCTTCAGGGCGTAGTAGTCGTTCAGCTTATCGTTCAGCTCCTTTTCGGTGTGAAAATCGGTGAGATCAAGGCTGCTTAGCTCGTAGGGTAGCTTGGAGCCAAAACAGGTGCTGGTGGCGTTCGAGGTGGGGTAGCAGCGGGCTCGGCGAACGCACTGGATGTGCCTGCTGTCCAGGCCATCAAACCAGGGCTTATCATCCCTGCCCTTCTTGGCGTACAGCCGGTAATTGAGAGTCCCATTGATGGGCTCCAGTTCCACATCCGACTGCTGCGCACTCGTAGGCGTTGTGCTGCCGAACTTGGACAAACTGGCCGATGCGTCTGCGACCACCCACAGGCATAAGATCGCAACCTCCAGGAACATCCTGAGAATTGTAAGAAACAGAGGTATTATAATTGGTGCTACCATCAGAGGCGAGTCACTCACATAATGTTTGGCATGCGCGGAAAGTTTAAGAATCGCATCCGCTTATAAATAACATTAAATAGCAGCTGCCTTGTGTGAATTTTAATGGGCTGAATTGCCCGTTCCTTGTTCGGCGGTTCTTCAGTGCATCGTGAAATTACTTTAGTTGGAATTACCCGGTTTTCCTGGTTTTATTGTTCCCTGTGACGGCTTGCACTGTTTTTAGAAATGGGAAAAACAGGAACCAAGGAGCAAAACAAAAAAAAAACGCGACTCAACGTGAAGCTGAAGCAACAAATGTGCGACCATTCAGGGCCAGTTTAAATATACCTTTATTATCGGTCATCGATAATTTGTGTCATCGATTGTTATCGATACCAGCAATGCTGGCATATGCATGGGTTTTTTTATACCAAGCGCCCGACGGTCACACTAGAGGCGGAGTATCGATAACATCGCGATAGTAGCGCACCAAGCATCGATGTAGTTTTTACATCCCTATTCTGCAATATTATTTCACGGCACGGTCCAAAAACACGAATAACAGGGCTTGGTTGGAGTCGCGCAAACGCAAATAGAAGCCATGGACGTTGCCCCCGCACCGGCCGCCAGTTCAGGCGGCGATCAGAACACCCAGCAGGCGCCGACCACTCCGAATCAAAATCCAAACCAAGCGCCGGTCGCACTAGCAAAGGCAACAACAATCGAAAATGGTGTACAAACAGGAGGAGCGAAAAAGCCAGAGAGCTGCGGTGAGAAAGCACCCGGTTAGCAAACTTGCTTGAAGCTGGTCTGGATTCCTGGATAACGTTTTCCTATTACCCACAGAGCCGAAACATTCCACTGGAGCTGGCCAGAAGGACGAAAGAGACGAGGGCAAGCCCAAGACCGAGCTGGCTGACAAAGTATTGATTACCATATGCAGCGCCGATCGCAAGATCAAGAAGACCTTCATGTCGCTGCCCACTCGAAAGGATGTAATCGACAAAGGTAAGGAACGCCCAACGAATTGGGTATCTATTCCTTCAGTAATAGATCACTCGTACGAATCCACTTTGCCCAGTTGGAACTTATAAACCAGTAAATTCAAAACTCTTCTTTAATAAGAATTATTGTGGCTCATGCTTTAAACATGATGTTAAAATAGATACTTAACCTATGAATGATATATTTATACCAGATACCACAATTATACCAGATTAAATAATAATTTTAAATATTTACAATTTATATTTATATTTGATACATATTAACGTATTATCATTTAACACTTGGTAGCTCACAAATACGGTCTGTGCGGCAACACAATTGTCCTGGAGAGCAATGGCTGCGAGATCTGCGAGGACGACGTGCTCTTGTTCGCCGCCAAGGAGAAGATTCTGTTGATGCTCCTCGCCGAGTCGGAGGAGTATGTGGTGCTTCCTCCACCATCGCCGCTCAATCGATCCGAACGAGCCGGCAGCTCAGTGGATCCCAGCTTCTATGCCAACAACAGTATTGTGTCGAATCCGAACGATTCAACGGTCTCTAATGACGAGACCATGTCACTGTCCAGCGTAACGCCATCAAGTGCAAAGAGTTCTGCTTTATTCAAGGAGTTCTCGATACCCTGGAGCAAGGTGCCTGGGGACATAATGAAACTACTGAAGGGAAAAGGGAGTTTGGGCAAGCGGTTGAATACACTGGCGAATGTTTTGGTGGAGGCTCTCCGGGAAATATCTGCCCACATTCCCATTCGGATTTTCCGGCAGGTCGCCCAGCAGGCGGCTGAAAAATACCCTGACTCGTTACTCGAAAAAGATCGTGAGGGACAGTTTATAGCCACCACTCCGCAATCGCTCATATCCAAGATGATCAACCGCAACAATGCCCTCAACAAACCCCAAAAACGCGGCAGCTCGGGAGCCTTTGAGATCCACATCCCTAGTAAAAAACGAAAATTCGGAGGTGGTACTTCCAATGGCGATGCAAAAGCACTGGCTCTCAATAGGGATCTGGAGCAGAAAAAGGAGTTACTAATCTCCAGCTACCGCGGCAGTTCCCCCCTGGAACAGTCTGTCATAGTCGAATACATGAAAGAGTGCTTTCCGCTGCAGCGCTCCTTCTTTAATAGCAGCGAAAAGATTCCGGATATAACGTCCATTAAGGACAATTGGCCGTATATTTTTGACAAGGCTGTGCTGTACCAGCACTTTGAGCTGCTTATGTCCATCGATCCCCGGGCTTTAGAGAAGCGCTTGGCTGGTGAAAAGGATCGCTTCTTCAGGTTCTTCAAGAGTTCGAAGAATAAGAAGATCAGCGCTTTGGAGGAGACAAACGCTAATTTCCTGCGTGGCATAGCGTATTATTTCAATGAGGATCCCGACTACATTTTCAAGCACCTAGAGAGCAGTTCCCTTAGTAAGGAAGCACTGCAAAGCACAAATCCCACAAACGCCCCCTGGGTGGCTCTAGTCAGTAAGTACATAAATGCTTATTGTAACGTTATATACTTAATAATTTGTGAAATATTTATCTTTCTACAGATTCACCCATAACAACGGCCGACGGCGTGGAACCGCAAGTGGAGGCGAAGGTCTACATCGAAGGCCAGATAATGGCCACATTCGCCGCCAAAGACGAAGACCTGCCGGACATTCTGGCCCAGTTGATCTGCTACTACTATACCTTTAACATGATGTACCCTAAGGAAGCCAATCAAACACTCGAATTTATCGTCGTTTACTTTCTGCAGCACTCGCCGGAACAAGTGCGATCGGCCAAAAAATCGGTGACCACCAACGGCAAGTTTAACCACCTCATCGCCAAGCTTGCCAATGTCCATGGCTGAGATTCCATTCGGACTATTTTTGGCTGGAACCATGGCGCAGCGGGCGTCGCTTCAATCTCCTCTTGCTCCTCCCAAAGGAGGAGGAGCTGAACTCTGTTTAGTTTATTTATTTTCGCCGACCTATTCCACATGTATTTGTACCACTATTTTTAAGATTTGCATAAAGTGTGTAGTAATGTTGTGTATACATTTCTGATTTGTCACCCGACCAAGAATCTTTTATTTATTTTGAGGTTGTCAAGCTTTCTTTATAGTGTGTATTTATTATTTAAACAGTTTTGTTGCATTACAGTGTGTACTGAATAAGCTGAACTTATTTATCGGGATGCCCTTTTTGAAACGGATTTTTCCCATTCCGCCCCTTCTTGCGATAAGGATGTGCATTATCTCGCATTTTCTGAAATGGGTTGCTACCCTTTGATCCGTTTGTATTAGATGATTTCATATTTGTCTGTATATTTTTCAATCGTTCTAATTCACTCTCTTTTTGTTCCTGTTTATATTTCAATTCCTTAATGGCAGTCTTGAGCGTGGAATTTTTATGCGTTAAATTGAAGCCCAGCGTGAGTTTCTTTCGGAAATAGTTGCGGTCCCTAAAAGTGAAGTTCTCAACGGACCTGCGAAGTTTTTGTTTTCCTTCCGTTGAGGGCTTCTCATCGTCGAAGGACTCCCATTCAGTGGCCTGCGACCGGTTGGCTTCTATGATATTTCGCCGGTGGTTCTGCTGACGCTGCTGCATGAACTGCCTGGCGTCCTTGCTGTCCATATCCTGGAGTCCCGGGCCCGATGAATCGGTAAGTATGTGGTTTTTCACAAGCTGCCAAGGCGTCGATGCGCCTTGCGGCGTGAGATCTGGACTTGGTTCAACATACTTCTTCGGCTTGAACTTATTCTTGCCCCAGTTTTTGGTGCGGCTTTCCAATCGAAGTTTATGGATACGAGACTCCTTTTTTTTTGTATCAGTGGAATTCATTACGTTACTTGTGACCAAACTTAATTTCGTCGATCTGACGGCCTTAGAGATGGCAATCTCAAAAACTGTCGAAACTAGCTACTAATGTCAAAGCTTATGCTAAACTACTTGCTTTTATTGGTAACTTTACATTTTAGTTCCTTGATATCTATTGTTTCACATATTGCCACATTCGGGGCAAGGTATTCAAACTGAACATACAATTTCCGAATACTTGGCAAGTGTAATAAAAGGCAACTTTGGCTTGAAAGAAGTCACGACGGCAGCACCACTAACAATCGGATTTCATCGATACCCTCAATCGGTTCAACACGTGCGCCGCGACTAGGCGGTTTTATAAATATTACAAATTCCATAATGCAGAACGGCGAGGGACAATCCGGCTGGAACTTCTCAGCAGGGGACAGAAAACAGTTTTCCAATTACGGGCGCAACAATCAGCAGAGGCGCAGCGGTGGTGGGGGAGGTGGGCAAAACCACTATCGCCAGTCCAATGGAAATTGGCCGGACGCAGGACCAGAAGGTGGTCAGAATGGGAACTTCTTTAACAAGTTCAGAGATCCCCAACAGCAGCTAAATAATCATCAGCAAAACAAGAGAGGCGGCAAAAGGACTAGAAGCGGGGGTGGTGGTGCTGGTGGTGGCAGGCGAGGACACCGCGGCAGAGATTCCAATAGGCGTGGTGGACGCAACAACTCGTGGCACGCTAAGGATCAGCATGTCAGTCCGGGCGAAAGTAACATGCTGTACTACGATAACGTGGGGGACTTCACGGAAGACCCACCTCTGCCTCGATCCTCGCCTGCTCCCTCTTCTCTCAGACAGGAGAGTCTGCCACCTGTCACATTCGCTGCTGACGTGACGCCACCACCTGTATCTGCACCGGATGTACCGGTTACGCCAGAAGAACCGACTGTGCCGCTTATCAATATCAAGAAGGAGAAGGAACTGCTGGAGCACAAGTCAAAAATAAAGCCTTTTGTCAAACCGGAGCCAAAATCTTCTAATAAGAAGAAGGTTAGCTCCTCCAGGTCATCAAGCAGCTCGGAAGAAGAGTCCGAACCCGAGCCTGGAGAAATGGTAATCAAAACGCAGGCTGTTGTGGCATCGTCCCCAAAAACGAAGGCCAGCAAAACACCAGTAGCATCAGCCCCGAAACCAAAAGCTGTGAAACCTGCCTCGTCTTCCGACTCCTCAGCATCGGACACCGACAGCGATGACGTACAGAGTCATCCACCGGAAAAGAGTAAAAAGGCAGCGATGGAAAAGGAGACTGAGGAGGATGTGGTCTGCATGGGTTCTCAGGAGCGCCAGTTTACTATTACGGATGAGGAGGAAAGCAGCGAGCTTGAAGATGAAGACGACAAGAAGGCCAAAAAACAAAAAAACAATAGTAAAAGCGTCCATGTGTGCGGCATTTGCGATAAGAAGGTAAATATTTTATAGAAATACTACCCGATCTTAAAAAATGTACACTTCCAGGGCCACACCTCCTTCCAGTGCCAGATGATATGTCGCAATTGCTCCGGAAGTTATCATGGTCTCAAGAACTGTCCGAACCCGCCAAATCTAAACATTGCCATTCAGTCGTTTGTAGAATTTGCCATGCAGCAGATGACTGCCTATCACTGCGAACAACGGTTTGGCTTTCCTGCTGGCACGGTCGCAGCTCCAGTTGCATTGCCAGTGTCAGCAAAACCCAAGAAGGACAAAAAGACGCCAATAAAGAAGAGTAAGAAGACGTCGCAGAAAAGGATGAAGGTGGAGCCGAAGGATCATGACGAGGACGATGACGACGAAGACGATGATGACGATGAAGATGCCAGCAGTGAGAGCGAAGACTCGGAGTCCAGTGATGAGCCTCAGCCAGCACCTGTGTCCAAACAGAAGCGGAAACGAGGTACGAAAGCCGCCGTCTCGGCCGCAGCCAATCTACCTCCGCAAGTGTTTCCATTTCCCCTTCTGGGCGCTCCGGGTGCCCCTTATAACTCCATGATGTATTCCTATGGAGCTCCGTTTAGTTTTCCTAAGTAGTTATAGCGTCAGTTAGTTGTAGAGGAACGTAAAAGATATATGTACCGAAGAAATGCTAGAATACATTTCAAATCCCAATTTTCGAGTTGGAATTAGTTATTTCATTTCGATATTAAAAAATGTAAGAAATTGATTTAAATTAATATAATATCGATAATAGCCAGGGGCTGGGCAGCCCTGGCTATCGAAATGAATCAGCTTATCCACCCCTGGTTCTGTGTTTTGCCAGCTGTTGCTTCCACGCTTTTGAATAAAAAATCAAATTAATAGTGTTTACTAGCAAAAACATATGAATCGAAGTGAAATCAATTTGAGCAGTGACAAGGGTAAGTGTATTTACTTGAATTTATTCGTTTTCCGCAAACAAATCTTAAGAGCATTGAGTTTCTTACTAAAGGAGCCAGGTGTCTGATTTTTAAAGTTAGACGCAACTATTTATGTATAACAAAGCATTTTTAACGAAAAAGAAAGCATAGTACATAAATTTAGGACATCCTGTTGAATATGAATATGTACATATGTAATCGGACACTAAATATACAAGTAATTTGTTAGGGCTACGTTTCGCAAGAGCTGCGGTATCCTGATTTAAGGTCCATTTCCGCTTCCCCTGTCTGCTTGACAGGATCCTAGGGTAGGCAGAGGGCCAGGGTCTCACGTTCCTGCTCGGTGCCGCAGGACACTGGGTGATTCTGACCCCGGGGATCGATGCCTGGCTTAAGCATCGTCTGCTGCAGCTCCCAGATGATTTCACAGGACAGGACGCTCACGGCCAGCTTTAGCACCGACTGATAGTTAAGCGGGTTAACCGCATAGCTGAGGATGCCCCTTGCAATCTGGTCGAACAAATAGTTCCTGTCCAGCAGCAAGAGCTCCTCGCGAACCTCCATCATACGGTTCTCAAAGTGGCACTGAATCGCTGCAAAGACCAGCTTGTCCAGACCCACCAGTAGATCCCGTTTAAACTTCACGAGGTAGTGCTCTATGAACACGATCTGGTTGCGATTTAGATGCGGCAGGCGCACCTTGTCCTGAATCACCTGTTCCCCGATCTGGCTGACCACCAGAGAGGCTAATGATCCAGCCGGAGTGGGCCGACGTTCGCTGCACGGACGGACGTCCACGAACGGATGAATCTCGTAGCTGCCCACGCCTATGGTGCTGGCTACGCCGCTAAACGACACGTGGGAGGCGCGCGAGTGGTTCTTCGGCTGCTTGATCATCGACGGCGGCACTTCCATGGCTTTGTGGTCCCTGGCGAATCCAATGATCTGATAGGCTTTCTGCAAGAGTAAAAGATTAGTGTTTTGTCTAGAGGAACTGCCAAGAACTCACGTAGTGCACATATTTCTTTGCATCGCAGACAAAATCCTTAATGCGCGAAATCAACACCTGCAAGGCACACTCGTCCTCGCTGAGATCATCGTTTAAGCCAGAAATGATGTAGTCCAGTATATATTGTGCCGCCTTATAGATGGGGTCGTCTGGTGCGAAGCTGAGAGCGGTCTGACCCTCCATGGCAATGGCTGCATTCAAGGCGTAACAAAGATCACTGTCTAACAATCCCTCAAAGGTGGCCTGATACTCATCGCAGAAGGATGGCTTTCGTTCCTGAAGAGTCGACTTCTTCTTCTTCTTGTGGCGCTTTCTTTTGGGCTGGCGAGCAGTGACGGCCTTTTGAGCTCTTTCCTTAATCTCGTCCTGAATCCGTTGCCACTTTTCCCTGTAATGGGCCTTGTGCCTGTCTATGAACGCCTCTCGCTCTTTTTCCACCTCCTGTAGAAGGTATTCGATCCTGCGCTGATTAGCAATTCGCTCATCAAGTCGCTTCCGCCACGACTGAATCTGGTGCTCAGTGTTCTTTACCAGCCTCTGCTTCCTCAGAATTCGCATGTTTTTGTTGAACCGATCCTTTTTGAACTGGAAGAGCTTCTTCTGTTTGATCAATAGCTTTCTCATCAAATCTTGGCACATGCTAATGTGGGCAGCCACACGCATGTTTGTGAGCATCTTGCGGTGCTCCAGCAACATATTCTGCATGGTGGCCAGGTTCTCCAAGCGTTTAAACTTCTCATATGTGATATTCAGCAGATGAACCTTCCTTTCGTGGCGTTCCTGCTCCTGCAGTTTCTTTCTGGCGAGAACCTCCTCAGTGCACTGGTGTCGGGCTGCGAGATTCTGGTGATCCTTCTTTGTGATGGACTCCGCGTTGGCGATCAGCATTCGATCATATTGCTCCGACTCGCGCCGCTTGTATGCCTGCAAAATGTAGTACAACTGCGATTTGTGCAGCTCCTGGCGATGCTGATTGAAGTCCTTCAGGTTGCAGATTACATCGTTGTCCTGCGTTATCTCGCCGTTTTCCCTCAACCGCTTCAGATTGCGTTCGTTGGAGTAGAACGTCTTTAGGTTGGAGTCGTGAAGCGGATTGTACTCCGGGATGTGCTCGGTGACGGAGCATTCGAACTCCTGTTTACCGCTCTTGAACTGGAGTGAATTTATGGTATATATAATATAATGATATAATGTTCTAGCTAGTTTTCTACTGGTAGCACCACTTACGTCCTGTCCAATCTTGTTCTTGGAGAATATGACCTGATTGCCGGGACATTTGAGCATTGGCAGTTTGCTGTTCAGAGGGATCAGCTCCCATCCGGGTAGACTGTTGATCGGTAGTCCAGTCTTGTAGGAGATCATCTTCAGCAGGGCCGGGTTTCCGGACACCTTGTTTCGCCGCGGCAGCGACAAAATATCGATCATCTTGTCGCTCTAAACTTACTGTACCCCGAGTTATTTGTGCTTAACATTTATTCTCTGAGTGTTTCAAGAAAACTAATTTCGAATAGTGCCTACCTTAATTATAATATAGCCGCCTACTATTGAGTTTTAGCCAAAAGTTTGCAACGTAGTAATGGAGATTTTACATATAAAATATACATGTTGTTCTTCAGCAGTCTCAACAGCCAAGTCAATATAGCCGTGTCCTGCTGCCCGCGCGTCCGTTTCTTTCAGTTTTTTAGCTATCTGGATGAATCACTGTTCCCATCTCATGAGGCCGAATCGGGAACATTTTGTTAGATCCACCAGACTCCCGGGCGTTAGTTCGGCTTATATAAATGCTCGGCTGGCTTCTCAAAAGTTCGCTGGCTTACGGTCCACCCGCTTTTTCCGACCGGTGACCCAGTTTCTCGTCTGTGGGTGATTCTAGATTGCGGGCATCTCGGGCATAAATATTTACCAATCGTTCGGTCAGGCGCCGGCATGTCTGCGTACGGAATGTCTCCTTGGAAAAGGACACCCACTCTCACTTGCCGTCGTGTTCCTCCATGTAAATAAAATCACATCAAGTGCTGAAATGTACTTGCTGCAGCACGTGCTCCAAATATTCTCTCGAGTGTGCTTTCCATTTCATCTAACACCTGAGACACCCCCTTTTACTTTCCCTCCCCTCTGTCGATGGAATAAATAAAAAATGATGGTGGCATCCCAAAACAGGCTAACTTTTGCGGGAAAATGAAAGGTGCGTGCCCATCGCCAGCGGTCGTCCGTGTTCCTCTTTCCCATTTCGTTACGAAATAGTTACTTCCTCCTTTGATATGGGTACATATACCCATAGGTCCCAAGGGATGGCTGCGTGAGTCGTTCGGCTAAATAGCTGGTTATTTTTTGGGAATCAAAAGTAGGGCTTTAACTTTTATTGAGGCAACATTGTTAGATTAGCTCCCAATATAATATATTAGACACTATAAACAGTGATAATATAACAAGTGTTTGGTTGTCAACATCTTTTAGCTGTTTATGCAAGTTATTAACAATATGTTTTGGCCCCAAGACAGTGAATTCTGATAAATATTTAAACTAAATTATTTTATAGTTTTATTTGCCACAATATTGAGCGCGGGTGGCCTTTATCTTAAAATCCCCCGCGCGGGCCAATGAAAACCCACCCCGCTCATTATTTTCATCTGACTTACGGTACCGGCAAAACCGCACACAGCTGTCTCAACTCTCTCTTTCACCCTCATCTGGATTCTTGGCACTATAGATTGAAAAGCGTCGTCGTTCAACTGGGAGGCTTAGCATTTTCAATCAGCCGAAGCTTTCGGTTCGGTGTTTGGTGTTTGAGAGCGACTTCGAACCACGAGAGAGAACTTGAGCTTTGAACACTAGCTTGCATCGTTACAGTTTACAAGTGTAACTTGCAAGACTCAAAATAATTACAAAACTAATAGTAGCGTTCAGTCTTACAAAAAGTCGTGTAAAAAAATGTTATTTTCTGTTAGTTATTCAAAAAACAGTTTTCAATTCGAAATTGTTATTAGACCCACATTTATTTGTTTGACAACAGAAATAAGCGACTCTCGGTTGCTTTAGCAATGCGAAAGGGTCGTCAAACCGTGTCGAACATGAGGCGCACTCAAAAAAATACTGCTTCAATATGTAGATATAATGTTTTATAAAACTTATGAGACTATGGAATTTAAGCCTATATATAAAAGATTACGTTTCACTACAATGCAGTGGAACCAATAAAATCCTTCAATTTGACTTTTAAGGTCAATATTTTTCTGAGTGCTGCAGCACTGTTCGCTTCAAGTCAACGAAACGAGCTTCCAAGTTGGTTACTCTGTGTGGAGTTGTTTCGTTTGGTCGCGTCGGTCGAAGGAGTCGGTTGTTCGTTTTCATGCGCGCAAGTAACGGTTGCCTTAGCGCGAATGCCATCGCCTGTTTTACTGTTATTTTAACTCGGGACGTCCATGCGTCCGTGCGCCCCTGCGTCCCTGCGCTTTCCTGTCTCTGTGTATGTGTGGGAGACAAACAAATAGCAAAACGAAAAGGAAAACCATAGAGAGGAATTCCGCAAAAAGGGGGGTGGCGAACATCCTGTTTTTCTGCGCCCGCTGCCAGAGTAACCACCCCCTCTCAGGGACGACAACAACAAAGTGGACTTGAGTATAAAAGCGAAAAAAGGAAATAAATATACGTACGAACCGTTAACTGCGCCATTTGTACTTCGCAACAACAAATGGAAGAAATAAAAGCATAACTATAAAGCTGTGTGTATGTGTTTGACGGAGAGAACAAAATCAACAACAAGAAATCGTAGTGAAGAAGATTGTTAATAAAAGAGGTCGGCATATGCAAAACAAAAAGCCACTCGAAGAAAGTAATATTGAAAGGCACACAAAGTGAAAAAGAGCAAATCTAAAAGAAGGCCGATAAAAAGCAAAAACATTGAACTGGACTCTGAAGCTACAACTTCAAACTGTTTAACTATGCCTAATACACGTTTATAATCCGCAATTAAACCATCAAAACATGCTGAAAAATCGGTTGGGAATTATATGAATCCTTCCCATTGCTGGATTGCATCATTCGTCGAGGGCGTGGCTTAGCATTAAATGTAATGTACAGCTCTCAAGCAGGACCTTTCATCATTCACACATCATCATCATCATCATCCGAGCCATCTTCTCCAGGCCCAATAACACAATGTCCACAACAGCAACTGGACTAAAGTCGGGATCCAAAGGAGCCTACGGCGTCGGGACGGATACGGATCACATCATAACCATCAGCACTGCCAGCTTGACGGAGTCGCACAGCGAAAATCCCGTAAAGGGAGTAGTCACTCCGGTCAGAAAGCCCAATTCCCTGGGAAGTGAAGATACCCCAGAAAACATAATTCCCGGTGACCAGGCTGAGCCAGATAAGAAACCCCTCCACTTGTGCCGGCTGTCCCAGCTGGTGAGCTATCAGAGTAACATCGCTGATGTCCAGCACCGGAAGGGAAGACGCCTCCACGGATTGCAGCTGCCACTGCATCCACTCCAACTTTTTGGCTGGCTAGTCCTCCTCCTGTTTGGAGTGGCTAGCTACTGGGTGCTCATTCCGGCCTTTCATGCCCGCATCCAAGGACCACTGTACGGACTGATCACCGGGCTCTATCTGGTGCACATTGCCTCTCATTTGACGGCTTTACTGACAGATCCTGCGGACAAGGAGTTGCGGCGAGTGCATCGCAACGATCGGATTGTCCCGGAGTTCGACCGGTCGAAGCACAGTCACGTGATAGAAAACGGTCGGTGCCATCTGTGCAACATCCGGACCTCCTCGAGCCGCACCAAGCACTGCTCCGTGTGCAACAAGTGCGTGGGCAAGTTTGATCACCACTGCAAGTGGCTGAACCACTGCATCGGATCGCGTAACTATGTGGCCTTCCTGATGTGCGTGGTCAGCGCTGTGGTGGCCACCCTGGTCATCGTGGCCGCCGTGGTGGCCCAGATCGTTTTCTACTATGTCCAGCCTGAGTGGTTAAGCTTCTACTGGTGCCCCACGGAATCGAGCCACACAATTGAGAGTGGCGACTACATAAACATCACCCTGAGCCTGGGCAACGGCACCATGATGCTAATAGAGCAGCACACTTCTGAGGAGGACGTGCATCAGGAAAACTGGGACGAGGAGCAGGCAAATATGACCATCTCAACACTGCCCACCCTTCTGGAGAATTTTACAGCTCTTATAGAAGCGAGCACAACGCAGCCTGGTATTAGTCCCACTAATCACACTGTTACGCAGCCAGTAGTGGCCGGAATCGGACTCAACGAAACCATTTTCCTGTTTCTCCTGGGAGTTCTGGGACTGCTCGCCGCAGTGAGTGCGGGACTGCTGCTCCACCTGTGCTTCTTTCACATCTACATCTCGTTCCTGGGACTGACCACCTATGAATACATTAGGAACCACCGTCAGGCTCAGGATGCCAAGAGCAAGCAGCTTCTGGAGGGAGCCACCAGTGTGGGAGCGCCCAAAAATGGAAACGTACATTTCTCGGCTTCATTGCCCGAGCCACATAATCCGTCCAAGTCCCTACCAGGAGGTCAGCAGCTCTACTGCTGTTCCAGTGGCCCACATCCCAGCCAGCACTCCCAGGAATCGGTTGGTCAAACGGAGCAATCCCTGCGGTTGCACTGCTGTGCCAGCTCTAGGGAGTTCCACCAGAGCGGGCAGGCCATATACGTTTGCTCACTGCTGGAGGAGACAACTCCGCAAATCCAAGTTGAGCCGGATGCTCTGAGCAGCTTCCATTGTTGCTCTAGCTTTGCCGCAAGTTCCCTGCAGCGTAGGGTCAGCTTGGCTAAAGGATCGCTGATCTCAGCCGAGCCGCGTCATCTGAGACCAGCGACTTATCTGCAGTACACTGAGCAGTGTACGCTCTGCACATTCCGTCTAAGAAGAGGATCAGGACCAGGGACAGGATCTTCAGGAGCTGTAAGCAGCGCCGGCGGAAGTAGCAGCACTCGCACATTAACCAGTCAAACTGGCGGCTCCTCCGCCTCGGCCACAGCAGCCGGGAATATCTCCAAGCATCAGCGGTGGCGAAGGAAATGGAATTGCTGCGCCGCGGTTCCAGATAGCCCCGATTTGCCCAATGACCTTCTCGCTGCCCTAACGTTTCGCGAAAGCGAGGAAGCAGCAGCGGCAGCCAAACTAAACACCCAGGAGCTGCCTATCCAGTTCATACGCACGCTAAACGGCGGTTTGGATCAGGAGCTACCTCTGAAGGCGGCAACAGCCACTCCTACGCCACCCAGAAGTTCCCGTCTTCGCTACATGCTGCGTCTACTGGGACGCTATCGAAGACCACGCTGTCGCCATGGGGCCCACCATGGAATTGCTGCCAAAGAGCACCAGAATATCGGGGGCTCTGCAATCAAACAAAATCAAATACGTCCGCTGCAACTGCAGGCAGCTGGGCGTGGCTATGCTAATTCCACTGCCACGTCAACGCCGCCCGCAAGTTCGCCAAGCAGAAGTTCCTTGGAGAGCAGCGATCTGAGCACCAGCACGAGCCCTTCGTGTGGCAACAAGGAGCTGATGCTGCTGCCCACATCCGTGATAAGGGACGACAGCGTGACCACCTACACGCTTACCCTGCCGCCTGCCCTGCCACCACCTACGAGGAGAAAAATGAACCAGACCACCCAAGAGCTGGCGGAGTTGGCGGAGACCTTGGGGTTCGCCAGCAATTTGCAGCACAGTCAGCATGGCAGCCAGACCAGCAGTCGAACGTTGCCCAGTTTCGGGAATGTCTACCGCCGGCAGAGGCGGAAGCACTTCTTGCGGACACGATCTCCCACACTATCGCCCATCCACGAGTCCGGCCTATCGAATCCAACCTCGCCCCAGCCCTTGCGGCACCACCACCAGAATCTAGCCAACTCGAACTCCAATCCGGCCAAAGCCACGTCCTCGCCTATGCTTAATCGCAACTCAGGATCTGCGAACTCATCGGCACTTCTAGTCCAGAATCTGTGCAACTTGGCAGGGGAAACGCTGAGGAAGACCGCATCCAACAGTTCCCTGCAGAGCCTCAGCTCCAATTCGAGCAGCACCTAGAATGAGTGTCTGTGTCCCTTTAGTCCTTAGGCTAGCTTTAGTCCCCCTTAGCCATAGTCCCCCGCAGCCCAAGCAGTTCCGTTGAAGTTTCGGAAATCAATTAATCCGCACATAAGCGCTGAAAGTCATAACTAAAATCAATTACGCACGAGGAGGAGTGGGAGTGGATTGGGTGGTTAGCTGTCGAGGCCAGTAAAGGAAATTGCCTTTGATGCGATGCGGTTTCATTGCCAAACTTAATTACCGCTTTTGGTCGAAGTTCCTTTGTTTGAGTTTTTGGATTGCATATTTGGTTTATTAAGAGTCTGGTGTGGAAAGGTCATATTTATTACAGACAGTATATTACGTTTTCTAACACATAGCGCACTTCTATTTATAATAGGTTGCTATATAGTTTTACTTTAGTTATTTACGAATGTAGAAACAATCTTTTAAGAAAGCTAGTTCCAAACTCATATTATTATTTATAGCATATCTATAAGAAATTCTTTTCCCATTAAAGTTTCTGCATTAACATATTTTTTCCAACCCCTAATTGGATTTTTAAGCCCGCGCTCTCTTAAGCTCCTGTTTTTCTAACGGAATCCTTTTTGATGACATCTTCAGTCCCCAAATGCATCGAGCTGCTTTCTCCCAAACTAAACATGTATTTGGCATCCTTTGAATGACTTTGCAGTTGAGTTGATAAAATATGCAACAGAATGTGCTCAAGAGTTCGAGCTGGGTGACTTTACTCATTTTCCGCACCCACCCCTTTGCTAGTATTGATTTTCATTTTGGAAAACGTGCAAGCGGAGGCGTCGGCTTATTACGTATTGTATCTGCAGCTGAAGCTTCGTTTGTATCTGAATCCGCGTAGCCGTGTATCTGGCGCCATCCCACTGCCAAACAGATGGAAAAGGGACGAGGATATGACTGCAGCATGTTGCCAAATAGTTACGCAAATGCTTTCATTCGATCTCAATTCAAATGCGGAGAAAACCCCCAACCAAAAAACTGACGATGGCAATTGTCTCGGGTTCCACTTGATTTTGACGACTTTCCCTCGGCCCATTAAATATTCCGAAGCTGAATAATTAAAGCGACGGGAAAACAGGTACGCGGGTCCCGGGGAAGTGGAATTCAGTGGAGTCAAAAGCGGTATTGGATGAGTGCATGTGCTCATCCTCCTCAGTTGTCAGTCGGACTGCTAACTGCTATCAGGGCTCAAAAGCACTGCTAGGCATACGGATAGACAGCCGTAACGACTACGCACATGACACTCCGGGATTGAGGTGGTGCTCCGTCTCTTTATTGCGCCAGACAGTCGGTGGTTCATGTTATAGGAACTGACAGCAGGGAAAGTCCATGTTTAACCGCCTGGAGCTGAGCAGGTGGGAGTGGCAGTGGTGTCAGATAGATGGATTGGTAGAAAGATTCGCTTTGAGTTCAGAGAGTGCCCGTTGAGTTCGAGGTCGAGCTTTAGTGCGCTTAGTTTTTTTGTCGAGTGGCCATTCTAAATCAATGTGTTACCCTTAATCCAGACTTTCAATTTTCTGTGTTCTTCAGAAAGGGAGGGATTCTAGGTGAGATTCTTTGAGATTCGTTTTGACGTTTTTTGGAACCAATTTCATTTTGATTCAGCTATCGAAAATGTTGTAAATAAGTCGACAGGCAATTCTGTGCCTTTGACACGCAATTCCTAAGTAACAAATTACTTTTATGCCACGCAAACTTTAACTTTGGTGAACGTCTTTAAACTGGCAAAAAGTGCTCTGACCTTTCAATATTTTTAAGATACTATAGGAGTGTTGTTGTTCCCAATTAACGAATTTGAGCTGTGTCCGCCTGTCGGCGTATTGCTCCAATTAAGAGGGTTGGCTTGCTGAAAATGTCGTTGCCTCACGGAGGCCTCCTTACATGGACTCGGGTAATGAGGGGTAGAAGAGTGTCGTTAGCCCCATATCAAAAGGAAAACTTGACTCCCAGCGACTGACATGCATTATTGCAGGTGGCTTCGGGTCGAGCTCTGTTCGTTTTCAGTGACAAGAGACAGACGCTTGGTAAATGACTCAAAATAACATAATGCAGCGACTGTAAGTGGATTTTCAATGCACAGACAGTTGCAGCAACAATTTTCCCCACCTTTCCCATTTTCAACGTTTATTTCCGCAAGCAAAACCCGCTGCATACTTTTTAGGGCGCTCTGTGGCTCTGTATAGGTGTGTGTGTTATTTTGGGATGGTGTGCGTGCGAAAATGTTTAATTTGATGGCACTTGGCGATACCATTTGAACTGCTTTAAAGGGTATATGCAGGGTACATAGCGCGAAACACCGGATATTTATTTTTATAAAAATATATTCGACTTTAATTGCATGTTCGTGTCATGCTCCCAAGCTTCTGGCTATTGGGCACGCCCCCAAAAGTGGCGGAGCGGACTGCCAGGCAACACCCTCGAACTTTCAGTTTGGCTGAAGCCCGGTGGTGAAGTTTGTTTACGAGACATAAAGCAGGAATATGCATATTCTCGGTAAATTTGGGGCGGGGCTGCTCCCACTTGACTGACTTTCCCTATGGCAACAAATGCAATACTCCTGCTGCTTTTGCTGTAGTCGTCGTCCTGGTCGTCCTGGTGATGGCCGTGCATCAATTATAAAACATTTTCTGCCTTCCGATTCTATGCTTTTCTGACATGCAAGCCGAAAATGTTCTTCATTTTTTGCAAACGGCAGGAGAAACACTGGAATTCAAATTGGATTTAATTGATTACCAATTTTTTTTTTTTTTTTTTTGTGTATACAAAGCCATATGTTATTCTATGTTCTGAGTTCTATTTTTACGTTTGGAAACAAAATAACTTTATAAATTGCATTACTACCACAAACTGCGAGAGCCATTTATTCAAGTGTAGGCGCAACACCTTCCTTGAAAAGTGGTCTTATTTCTCGGTTGGCCTGTAGGACAAACGAATCATGATTGATTGGGCCTGAATTGGGTGCGAAGGCTCACCAGGACAGACAGTTGCCCCTGCTGCCCCTCAATCGCTCCTTTCCTCTTCCGTGCTGTTATTAGCAATGGTAGTTAGGTTAGCTCCAGCTCCCCGTCCACTTGGGCCAACACACTCCTTTTGTTTCGCCTTGTGCCCTGCAATGACATTTTCAGTTGCTTTGCTTTTCCCTTTTCGTTGGTTCAACGAACTTCTGGCTCTCGGCTCTTTTGTTGAATTATCAGCCAGGTGGAATATTCAGGACATGCATACTTAGGTGGATCCGACCGCCCCTTTAATATGCTTTTCAATTTAGTTAATGACTTTTTGTATCCCTTCTGGGCAGTTCCATCTGTAACCTAAGCTTAAACAAATTATCAAAGAAAACGAAAAACATAAAAAAAGAGAAATGTTTATGAGACTGGAGTTGGGAAAAGAATGTATGAAAACAAATTAAAGATTGAAAAGTAAAACAATAATTATAATAATTTAGCCAGGCCAATTAGGTGTGAAATTAAAAGCACGATTATGAAAAACATATATATTTTGATAAAATGTGCAGTGAACAGGAAGTAAGCGAAGATTATAGCCCCAGAAAGTATGCTATAAAATGATGTGAAAACATTCGACATTTAAAGACTATGCTTTGTACCATAAACGGAAAATAAAAATTGTTCAAATGAAAAAAAGTTGGTTTAATTTTGTTAGTTTTTCATGTGCGCCGCCCCAACTAAATTTAATTCGCAAAATGTGCGCTAAGCGAAAAGAGACCAAAGAAAGAAGTGTAATAAAAACGATTGAGAACAAAAAATGTTGCAACAAGAAGGTGTCTATAAAACTATCATTGGCGACCAGGCGGCAGATGGGTGGCTCATCATTGCTGATTGTCGTTGCTCAGAGGCGACTTTTGACCCCCTTTCATGGGTATTTTAAATATTTACCAGGCAAGCCGAATGGCGAATAGTTTCTATGGCTTCCAAGGGGCTTTGAGTCATTTTCCCGGCCATGTGGACGTTTTCATCGCATTCGCAGAGTTGCTGTGGCGCATTTTACAGCCCTGTTTGCTCACCATTGTCCACGCTGCGTATGCGCAATTTTCTGGTTTCTGCAAGTGGTTCACTATTTTTCAAATATAAATGGGGCATTTTTTAATTTTTTTGTATTTCCCACATCAGATAAATTTCAAAAAAATAAAAAAAAAATAAAATTCTAAATTTGAATGCAGATTTTTGAGAATTGCGCCAGAAACATTTAGAGGTATTCCATTTCAAAATCCGATTAAGATAAGTTGAGTTATGAGGCTTAGAACTTCAGCTATGGGGCATTTTTTAATTTTTTTGAATTTCTCACATCAGAAAAATTACAAAAAAATCAAAAAAAAAATAAAATTCTAAATTTGAATGCAGATTTTAAGAGAATTGCGCCAGAAACATTTAGAGGTATTCCATTTCAAAATCCGATTAAGATAAGTTGAGTTATGAGGTTTAGAACTTCAGCTATGGGGCATTTTTTAATTTTTTTGAATTTCTCACAGAAAAATTACAAAAAAATCAAAAAAAAAAAAAATTCTAAATTTGAATGCAGATTTTAAGAGAATTGCGCCAGAAACATTTAGAGGTATTCCATTTCAAAATCCGATTAAGATAAGTTGAGTTATGAGGCTTAGAACTTCAGCTATGGGGCATTTTTTAATTTTTTTGAATTTCTCACATCAGAAAAATTACAAAAAAATCAAAAAAAAAAAAAATTTTAAATTTGAATGCAGATTTTAAGAGAATTGCGCCAGAAACATTTAGAGGTATTCCATTTCAAAATCCGATTAAGATAAGTTGAGTTATGAGGTTTAGAACTTCAGCTATTGGGCATTTTTTAATTTTTTTGAATTTCTCACATCAGAAAAATTACAAAAAAAATAAAAAAAAAATAAAATTTTAAATTTGAATGCAGATATTTAGAGAATTGCGCCAGAAACATTTAGAGGTATTCCATTTCAAAATCCGATTAAGATAAGTTGAGTTATGAGGCTTAGAACTTCAGCTATGGGGCATTTTTTAATTTTTTTGAATTTCTCACATCAGAAAAATTACAAAAAAATCAAAAAAAAAAAAAATTTTAAATTTGAATGCAGATTTTAAGAGAATTGCGCCAGAAACATTTAGAGGTATTCCATTTCAAAATCCGATTAAGATAAGTTGAGTTATGAGGTTTAGAACTTCAGCTATGGGGCATTTTTTAATTTTTTTGAATTTCTCACATCAGAAAAATTACAAAAAAATCAAAAAAAGAATAAAATTTTAAATTTGAATGCAGATATTTAGAGAATTGCGCCAGAAACATTTAGAGATATTCCATTTCAAAATCCGATCAAGATAAATTGAGTTATGAGGTTTAGAACTTCAGCTATGGGGCATTTTTTAATTTTTTTGAATTTCTCACATCAGAATAAATTACAAAAAAATCAAAAAAAAATAAAATTCTAAATTTGAATGCAGATTTTAAGAGAATTGCGCCAGAAACATTTAGAGGTATTCCATTTCAAAATCCGATTAAGATAAGTTGAGTTATGAGGTTTAGAACTTCAGCTATGGGGCATTTTTTAATTTTTTTGAATTTCTCACATCAGAAAAATTACAAAAAAATCAAAAAAAAATAAAATTCTAAATTTGAATGCAGATTTTAAGAGAATTGCGCCAGAAACATTTAGAGGTATTCCATTTCAAAATCCGATTAAGATAAGTTGAGTTATGAGGTTTAGAACTTCAGCTATGGGGCATTTTTTAATTTTTTTGAATTTCTCACATCAGAAAAATTACAAAAAAATTAAAAAAAAAATAAAATTTTAAATTTGAATGCAGATTTTAAGAGAATTGCGCCAGAAACATTTAGAGGTATTCCATTTCAAAATCCGATTAAGATAAGTTGAGTTATGAGGTTTAGAACTTCAGCTATGGGGCATTTTTTCATTTTTTTGAATTTCTCAAATCAGAAAAATTACAAAAAAATCAAAAAAAAATAAAATTTTAAATTTGAATGCAGATTTTAAGAGAATTGCGCCAGAAACATTTAGAGGTATTCCATTTCAAAATCCGATTAAGATAAGTTGAGTTATGAGGTTTAGAACTTCAGCTATGGGGCATTTTTTAATTTTTTTGAATTTCTCACATCAGAAAAATTACAAAAAAATAAAAAAAAAATAAAATTTTAAATTTGAATGCAGATATTTAGAGAATTGCGCCAGAAACATTTAGAGGTATTCCATTTCAAAATCCGATTAAGATAAGTTGAGTTATGAGGCTTAGAACTTCAGCTATGGGGCATTTTTTAATTTTTTTGAATTTCTCACATCAGAAAAATTACAAAAAAATCAAAAAAAAATAAAATTCTAAATTTGAATGCAGATTTTAAGAGAATTGCGCCAGAAACATTTAGAGGTATTCCATTACAAAATCCGATTAAGATAAGTTGAGTTATGAGGTTTAGAACTTCAGCTATGGGGCATTTTTTAATTTTTTTGAATTTCTCACATCAGAAAAATTACAAAAAAATCAAAAAAAAATAAAATTTTAAATTTGAATGCAGATATTTAGAGAATTGCGCCAGAAACATTTAGAGTTATTCCATTTCAAAATCCGATTAAGATAAGTTGAGTTATGAGGTTTAGAACTTCAGCTATGGGGCATTTTTTAATTTTTTTGAATTTCTCACATCAGAAAAATTACAAAAAAATCAAAAAAAAATAAAATTCTAAATTTGAATGCAGATTTTAAGAGAATTGCGCCAGAAACATTTAGAGGTATTCCATTTCAAAATCCGATTAAGATAAGTTGAGTTATGAAGTTTAGAACTTCAGCTATGGGGCATTTTTTAATTTTTTTGAATTTCTCACATCAGAAAAATTACAAAAAAAATCAAAAAAAAAAATAAAATTCTAAATTTGAATGCAGATTTTAAGAGAATTGCGCCAGAAACATTTAGAGGTATTCCATTTCAAAATCCGATTAAGATAAGTTGAGTTATGAGGTTTAGAACTTCAGCTATTGGGCATTTTTTAATTTTTTTGAATTTCTCACATCAGAAAAATTACAAAAAAATAAAAAAAAAATAAAATTTTAAATTTGAATGCAGATATTTAGAGAATTGCGCCAGAAACATTTAGAGGTATTCCATTTCAAAATCCGATTAAGATAAGTTGAGTTATGAGGCTTAGAACTTCAGCTATGGGGCATTTTTTAATTTTTTTGAATTTCTCACATCAGAAAAATTACAAAAAAATCAAAAAAAAATAAAATTCTAAATTTGAATGCAGATTTTAAGAGAATTGCGCCAGAAACATTTAGAGGTATTCCATTTCAAAATCCGATTAAGATAAGTTGAGTTATGAGGTTTAGAACTTCAGCTATGGGGCATTTTTTAATTTTTTTAAATTTCTCACATCAAAAAAATTACAAAAAAATCCAAAAAAAATAAAATTTTAAATTTGAATGCAGATATTTAGAGAATTGCGCCAGAAACATTTAGAGGTATTCCATTTCAAAATCCGATTAAGATAAGTTGAGTTATGAGGTTTAAAACTTCAGCTATGGGACATTTTTTAATTTTTTTGAATTTCTCACATCAGAAAAATTACAAAAAAATAAAAAAAAAATAAAATTTTAAATTTGAATGCAGATATTTAGAGAATTGCGCCAGAAACATTTAGAGGTATTCCATTTCAAAATCCGATTAAGATAAGTTGAGTTATGAGGCTTAGAACTTCAGCTATGGGGCATTTTTTAATTTTTTTGAATTTCTCACATCAAAAAAATTACAAAAAAATCAAAAAAAAATAAAATTCTAAATTTGAATGCAGATTTTAAGAGAATTGCGCCAGAAACATTTATAGGTATTCCATTTCAAAATCCGATTAAGATAAGTTGAGTTATGAGGTTTAGAACTTCAGCTATGGGGCATTTTTTAATTTTTTTAAATTTCTCACATCAAAAAAATTACAAAAAAATCCAAAAAAAATAAAATTTTAAATTTGAATGCAGATATTTAGAGAATTGCGCCAGAAACATTTAGAGGTATTCCATTTCAAAATCCGATTAAGATAAGTTGAGTTATGAGGTTTAAAACTTCAGCTATGGGACATTTTTTAATTTTTTTGAATTTCTACATCATATATCAGAAAAATAAAAAAAATAATTTACAAAAAATGTCTAAATTGTTTACCCTACGAGTAACGGGTATAATAAATTTTTTAATATTATAAAACCATTTTGATTGTGGGACACTTTTTAGGCTTTTTTTCTAGTAATAATATGTTCGAAGTGTACGCATCTGATTAGAGTACGTACAGTACGTTTTTCTGTTGATGCTGCTGAATTAGAACTAACTTATGTTTTGGGCTCTAAAATTACCTCTCATTTTGCTCCCTAAAATTAATCGATAACCCACTTGGTAGTATTGAAATCTTTTGTTTTGGTTTCTCTGCTGTAGCACTTTTGCCTTCTTGCTTTTATTATTTATGCAAATATATACTTGCACGTAAATTAACAAGGTAAGTTGTTGTAGTCTTTTTATGTTTCCTGGCAGTCTTGTGTGTCATGTGTTTGCCTCGCCAAAACAAATCAAACGCATGCCACACACGCACACACGCACGTACACACACACAAACACACCGCGGCACCTCCTAACCCACACAGACGCAGAGCTTAACGCGTTGGC